TGGGTATCGCTCTTCCAGCTGCCTCACTTTGGATGCAATTCCCCCATGCAGTGCTAGGGCATACACTCCTGATAAAGAACACTTTCACTGCATAACCCTCGAGGCCAAAATTCTGGCCACTGGTGTCAGTATAGATTTGGGGGTGTTTCCCATAAGAATTCAAATACTGTCCTTTCCAAACTCCAGCCTGCACCGTCACTTCTTAAATTTTTCTGAAGCTATTATAAATATATGTGATTATGTATATCAAATGTGTGTCCTGCATGCTTTCTTTTTCACAGGTTTACTGTGCATTGAATAATTGCTGTATCCTACATTCTCCTTTGAAGTGGCTGTGTTTCAGTGTTGTGAAGTAGTGCATTTATTGTATCACTCCTCTTTTTCTTTTTTGGTAGGGAGAAGGCAGAAGAGAACTTGCTAATCCGTGAGACTCAGATAAGAAATGGTAAAGAGATTTTGTTGGATCAGGGTTGATAAAATCAGCTAACGTGGCTCTTAAATTGTCAAAGCCCAGAGAGATTAATTTCTCCAGAAAGGAAGAGTCTTTCTGCCAGTGGTTGGGGCCGAGTTTGGACGGAGGGGTTGATATTAAGGGCTGCCTTGCAGCTGGGAGGCTGGGCACCTGTGGGCTTCCTATTTTATTGTGGATTAGTTTGGGATGAAGAAATTTAACATATTGGGTTACACTAGGCCTTAGGGGCCCACCTACTCACTGAAGTTGATGGAAATGGGCTGTGAATGGCCCTTGCTACTCCAGGGATAAGGTGAACACAAACCCCTGTTTGTAGTGGGTGCATTTTTTCAGACTGGGAAGAGAGTGAGGTCAGTGATGCCAAGATAGGGAAGGAAGAACCTTTGTGATTGTCCTCAGCTCTCCTTCCCAGTGGTCATTGGGTGGCTGAAATCAGTAAATGATGACTTGGAGATACCCACCTAAGGGTTAACGAGGCAAGCAGAAAAAGCAAGTTGGCAACATAATGTGAAACTGAGTCTAAGGAGGCTGGGACTCATACACGCAGATCCATCGGCTTCCACATAACCCAGAGGCTCAGCCTGCCTGTTGCCCTGCAATCAAAGGCAAGGTTGGCATTGTCTTTGCTGTGCCTCCTTCCCTTTGCCCTTTGTTTTCAGATTTCCTGGCAGCTGCTCCAGAGCTGGGCAGCAGAGCGGGAGTGAAGCATGTGAGGCACTGGGGGTTTTATCAGATGGTTGTCTCCCAGCAAACAGTGTCACTTCAGCTGCAGAGTGGCACAAAGCAGTGCTTCAGTCTAGGTTGCTTTTGAGTCGCCCATAGGCAGCTGGCAAGGGAAGGGGAAATGAGGAAGCAGGTTCTAGGGGTAGCGTGCAGGTAAGTTCCCCCCTGCAGGTGGGCAGGGGACAGCTTCATAGCCAGGGCCACAGAAACCAGCACGTGGTTGGTCCTTTGCCATGGCCGTTTCCAATCCCCAGTGCATTAACGAGCTGAAGCCAAGGGCTTGTTAAGCTGTAGGCTGGCCTGTGACCTGGAGCTAGCACACGCTTGCTCTGTGCCACTACCACGGCACGGAGGTTTCCAACAGAGAGCAGGTGGCTGGAGGGAGGCTGCAGATCTCCAATCTTACTGAGGCAACCTGATAGCTCATGTGCTGGAGCCACTAGCAAATCAAATCCACAGAGGGCCCAGGGTCAGAGAGAAAAGGGCTCTGTTGGGTTTTTTTTCTTTTATATTTTTCATTTTTTATTTTCTTGGAAATGCAGTGAGAAGCTGCGTGACATCTGCCAGTGGGAGTGGTGACCATTGCTTTCTTTCCAGTAGGCTGTGGTTAGGTCTAGAAAAGTGTAGAGGCAGCTGAGAACCTCTCAGCCTGAAGGAGTTTGAACCAACCTCTTCCCCCTCCCCAAAAATGAACCACAACGTTTTTTGCTTAGAGAGCATCCTGAGGCAAAGCATGCAAGTTGCAACCCATGAGGCTTCTCTGCCCTGTGTAAGCATTTGTGGAGCAGGAACCACATTCCCCTTCTCCAGGTGGGTGTTCCAACCACCACGCGAGAGAGTCCTTCCTTCACAATTAATATTCAAATGTTTCACACAAGGCAGAACAGCTTGGAGTGTCTTGGTAGCTGGGACATGCTTCAGAGCAGTGGGAGATCTGCTTCAGATCCCACTCTGGATTGAGCAGGGATGGGATGTGAACTTTTGGAACTTCCCCCTCATCTGGCAGCCTGATGAAGCCTGTCCTTGACTTCCTCTTCTCTTCTTTCAAGTGCCTGCAAACAAAATGTTACATTTGGGGAGAATGGGAGGTTTTATTCACCGCAGCAAAGGTTTGCAGTGCCTAAAAAAAAAGAAGAAAAAAGGCTTTATTTCAAATAACATTAATTTTCAGTGTTTTTATTCTGCTGCCAGACTAAATCAGACATTTGCATTACCCTATGTCCTATATCTAGATACACCCTGTATCTAATAGTCTCCATTACAAGAAACAAATAAAATCCTTTTCTCTGCTCCATCAATACTGGTGTGGAGGTTTGCTACAGGGATGTTGTCACACTACCCATGCATCGTAATGTACCACCGTTAGTTCCTCATCTGTGTACCTCCTTTGTGTCTTGGCATCACTTCTGGTGTCACTAGGGGAGGTAGCAGTGCTCAAGAGAGCTTTGGGTCTATAGCAAAGAGCATGTCTCTCTCAACAGTGGCCATTGGCAGTATCTTTTGCTCTTCCTGAGCCCTGAGGAGAGAAGGGATAAAGAAAAGTTGCTAGTCATAACTGCTGTGGAGATAACATCCTTTCATGTTGTTGAAGGGTCCCAAGGGCCTGGCCGTGGGACATGGTGGCTGCTGTGTCAGACGGAAGAGGAGTGGAGGCAGGTCACAGAAAGCTTCAGAGAGAGGACTTCCCTTAGAGAGCGGCAGCTCTACAAACTCTTGAGTGAAGACTTCCTGCCGGAGATCTGCAACATGATTGCACAGAAGGTGAGGAGACATGACATCCTGTTTACCTCTCTATGACTGCTTCCAAGAGCATGGACTTCTGCTGATTGAAGGAGAGCTAAATGCAAGAAGCCTGTTCCCCTGTCGTGCTCTCCCCCATTCCAGCCTCCAAGTGTCATTGATGTGGGGCTGTTTAGCTTGTGTATGGGGTGAAAGACTCTCCCTCATGGAGTGGCAGGGCTAGAGTTGATAATGAAGGATTTGGTTCGTGACTGCACAGCAGCATAGGTAGGATGGCTGAAGGGGTTACTGTCTTCAGCCATCTTCTCTGTCTCTTTTCTGCTAGCAGGGAATCTCTGCTTTTGAACTGCTGCGATTTACAGCCTAGCTTTTCTCTGCCAACTGCCTCTGATCTCACTTTTACTGCTGTTTCTCAGCCAGCCCTGCTTGAAGGGGCAGTGGCTGCTTTAGCTGTCCTAGCTAAGTCTGCTTGAGCTGGTATGTCAGAGCCCTGAAACTCTGAAGGGTATTGTCTGTCAACTGAATGTTTTCAGGTGGGAGAGATTTGGAACGGAATCCTTCGGCTAGATGGCTTGGTAAAATGGGCTCTGCAGTCAGCATGGTGTTCTTGGATTGAGTTCAGTTCGCTTGTTTGCTACCCTTGTAAAGCTAATAGGGATTTCATGGTCACTTCTAGCCCCCAGAGTTTCTCCTGCCAGTATCACCGATGTGCCCTAATTTCCTCCACTCTCTCTTTCCTTCCCTCAATTCTCAACCCTGTTTCAGGAGAAGCGTCTACAGCGGACAGAGTATTCTCCCAGGTGGATGTCTGACCATCAGCCCATCAAACCAATCAAGCAGGAGGTGAGGGGGGGAGCGAGGGGGAGGACGACTGAAGGGAGGCAAGAGCAGATGCCTCCTGGGGGAAAAAAAATAACCCGCAGCATCGCTATTCAGTGGGAAGGAGTCATTTGAAAGTGCTTGTGCTGAAAGAGAGATGGGTGGTAATGCCTGTCAAAGGCAGGCTGACACTCGGGGTTTCTATGGCGAGCAGGGAGGTGCTGCCCTCTGGATCGCAGAGGTAACCGGCCTCGCCGCAGACCCCGGTGCAGCTGCATATGGAAATCTGCTCTCGGTCTGGGGAATTCCACTTCAATGAAAGTGCTGGCACATTCGAGGCAGTTCAAAGAAAAAGTTGAAGAAGGATGAGAGGGCTAGCAGAACCGGCTTACAAAGGGAAATGACAGAAATTCAGCCAAGGGGAAAACGTGAGGCTGCAAACACATGAGGGTGTAGATAGTGCAGAGGGAGAGAAGAATGACTGATGCAGGATGGAGCTGAGCCTAGGAGAGGGTCAGCTGGAAATGGAAGTCACAATTTAGGCTGCTTAAAGAAACGCTTATCAAACTGCAGCCTTGTCAGCTGAAACGGCCCTTTCCGTGCCTCCTCACCCTCATCTCCTCTCCACCCCATCAGCGCAGCGGCGCTGCCGCGTGCAGGTCTGTGCAGTGAACCAGACGCAGGAAAATGACTGGAGTTAAATATAACCTTTTTCTTTGGTCGGGGTTATTTTTAACGTAGATCAGCTTTCCGATCCAGTTCACCACACAGCCCCCAGCAGTCACGTTGGCACAGCCAGGGGCATGGCACGGTGGAGATATGGGGGGTCTTTGAACTGGCAACTGCTACCCAAAGCAATCGGTCAGGCAACACAGGATTAGCTGGGGAGGAAAAAATTGGCTTGATTCTAGCGGGCCGTGGCATAATCTCTCACTGTAGATGTCACCAAAATGTAGTTGCCTGGGTGTTTTCTGGTGAAACCCTGGGAAATTAAGCTGCAGGGAATATTCCACATGAGCCAGGGTCAGGGGTTCCTGCAAAACAAAGGAGAAAGTGCAGTTCCCTGCAGTAAATATAATTACTTAGAATAGATAAATAAAAGGAAGGAAGAACCTCTCGTCATGCAGCAGATAAAAGCCTGCTGAGAGGAAAATAAGACCCCAGTGATGGTCAGTTTGGGGCCAGAATTGCTCACTGCAAAGCCCACCGTGCAGGAAGCACAGGGACACGTGTTTGTTCACAAGCGGCAGAAATCCCAGAGGAGGAGGGGAGTGGGAAACACATGGAGCCTGGATGATGCTAATCAGTACCGCAGGTGCTCCAGGTCTGTGGCGGCAGAGGGCTGCTAATTGCTGCCTGTGGGCCACTGAAACGTTTCCAGTGAGTGGGGGGCCCTCCCTGCACCCACTGTGCCAGGATGTGGGGAGTCAGCCAACACAAGGGTGGGCACGTTCACAGGGGCTCCCCAGCAGAACGTGGCAGTCATCCCTGCCACAGGGGAGCCAGGGAAGGTGCCAGCTGATGGCTTGTTTGCCAAGCAAGGGATGGGCAGCAGGCAAGTCTGGGGGAGGAAAACCTCAGCCTGGCACAGGGGTGACCCCTTCATCCCAGCTCCACAAGCTGGATGCCACTTAGGTCCGACATGTAACTGCTCCATAGGCTCCTAATCCTGCAGGGGATTTCTCAACAGGTGGTTCAGATTAGCTCCTCATTAAAGAGCCGCCTGAACAGCACCCTCATTAGGGTATTGCTGCGGAAATCGGAGCAGGGAAGGTTTGGAGGGCGAGGGGCCAGGGTGCCCGGGGCATCTGCACCTCTTGGCCTTCTGCCCCTGAAGTCTGATACCCACTGTCTGGAGAGCAAAGCAAAAGGCAGAAGTTTGGCCCTTTCAGGGTCCCAAGAGGGAGAAGGCCAGGGATGTTGTGTCCTGGAGTGCTCTCTGGCGGAGGGAAGGAGGCGATAGAGCTGCGGGCACAGATGCGGGGGATGTTTTTTATCCTGCAAGTGGGGAGGAAGTTGGAGGAACGTCCCTTTGCCACCACTTTGCTCAGGAAGGAAGTTTAACTTCTGTTGGGTTGTTGCTTTTATCGTTCCAATAGGTGTCTGCTTCCATCACATCTAGTAGTTTACTTGGTTTTGTTTGTTTAGTTTTTAACCTTGAGTTGAGGACCCTCAGCTCCAATGCGTTTAAGTGGGACACGAGGCAGTAGGTCCCTCTGAAAATCAGGCTGTTTCTGTGTCTGAAGTGTCTTAAAGAGCCTGTGCCAGCACTGTAGCTGCTGTGCAAGTGCTGCAGGAAGCAAATGGAGTAGTTGCAGGTGTTTGCAGCAGTCCTTGGTCCTCACTACATTACATTTGTGGTTTCTACTTTTCTGTTTTCTTCTCTTTCTAGATCTGCTAGGGTGACATTCACTCCTTTGCTTAAATTTGTCCTGTTGTTCTGTGGATGTTATATTTGTGGTGGGTTGATCTGAAGCATGCTATGGATTCTGTGTTGTGCCATTTCAGGCCAGAGTGCTAAAAGCACCCTGCAGGCTTGGAAAGGTCCTGGTGTGAGCATTGCAGCTTGGATGTTGTGTTCATGTTTCTGTAGGACATGAATGGTGGGATCTGTATGAATCCAGGCAAGGGGAAGGTCTGACCTGTGCACCAGCAGCTGAAGAAATGAGCATGGCATGCCAGGCTGACTTAGATCTACTGGCTGGAGAATCTAAAGGCTGATGGTCACATCCTCAATAAAATAATTTGTGTACTAAGTTATGGTGTCTAGTTCCCACACACCTCTTCCTAATTGTTGCAGAGTCTGACTTTTTTTTTGTTCTTATTGCATTTCTAATTATCAAGAAAGTTAGGGGAAAACTGGTTGATGATGGCCAGGAATGGGCCTCAAAGGAGGTTGGTTGCTGTTCATGAGTAGAAAATAGGAGGGTAGAGTGGCTGAGAAAGAGATATGAAAAGACTCAGTAGTGAAAATGTAGAACTTGGTTCCGTAGATTCTTGACCGTGACATAGGTTTTTCAGTCCTGTGCATCCTGGTGTTTGGATATTGATCAGTTGGAGGAAAGATCTGAGACAAACAACTGGAATGATTAAAGAGCTGGAAGGATTGCTTTATAAGGAAACATTTAACCTAATTACAGAAACGTGGGAGTTTTGTGTAAGCGTCTGAGGAAGCCCATAAACGCTGGGATGTGGCTGAAGAAGAGGAGAATTTACGCTTGCCCAGAAGAACATAGCTAGGAATAGGGGATGAGAAATGAACTTCACACCAAATGCAAGGAGGAGCTGATGAACTTAGAGGCATGTGGCCTCACAGAATGGTTTCCCTAGGAAGGTGGTAGAAGAGCGAAGTACTAATGTTTGGCCAAGATCTAAAAAGGAAAATAACATGGGTAGAGTTCCCTTGTGATGAGATGGTACTGTGGGGTTTGCCTAAAAAGGATCAGCACAGAATAGGTGTTTTTGCTGTCCAGTCTGTCTTTAGATGCAGGATCTGGTCTTAATGTTGTGAAAGTCCCATCACTCTCTCTCAGACACTTTTCTGTGGCTGTTGGTGGTTGATGCATAATTATCTTAGTTTATTTTTGCTCTTGGAAACAGGGAGATAATACACGGTGCTTGTCCATGGAGAGAGACAGGGGGGAGATTTTAGGGCAGTGCTATGTACAGGAAAAGAAGTCAGAGGGGAATGAATGTGTACCAAAACCAGACATTTCTATGCATTTATCACAACACCTTGAGGTTCTACTTCTAGTCAATGAAACAAGGACAAATAGTAATCATGGTGCCAGATTTTTTCTGGAGACTAATATTGGGCCTGGAGAAGCTGATGGTCTGAGTAGCAGCCATGGGACCCCAGCTGATTGCTAATCCTGAGGAAAGGACTCCTGCCTAAGTGGTGGCTGCTGGTTATCCCCTGAAAATGAAGGTGGAGAAAACAGTATGCACATTGTACTGTTTTGGTCAATATTCCCTGCTGATAAGGCACACATACCTTGGTTTTGCAAGAAGTCAAAGAGGTGGGAGAGGCTGGTGGATGACTGATTAATTTGTCTTATAATTAAATTAAGCCTATAAAGGTAATTCCACATTGCCATATATATACATCTCACACTTTATTGGAGAAATAGGAGCAGGCAATCTCTGGTCTGGGAAGTCTGCTGTCTAAGTAGGATCAAGCACAGCCTTGCAGCCTGCTGACAGTGGGGAGGTGAGGAAGTGAGGTAATAAAGAGCCAGGTGTCCTTGAAGGAGAAAACTGGTTAGGGTACCCTGCAGGAAAACTGTCCAAACAAGCGAGAGCTTGTACAGGTAAGACTAGCACAAAGAAATATGGTGGCTTTTATTTTGAACAGGAAAGGAAAACACTCCAAACCATACCTTGATGCAAGGCTGTACCAGTCTCTTTTCCAATCCTAAGTACTCCGTTTTATAGCAAGGTAGTCTTTTCTACTCACACTGGCTACTCAGAACTCCTGTATCTGGAAGGGGTAGAGGTGTTGTGAGGGGATGTCAACAGTCTGAAACCTTTGCCTAGAAGGGAAATATACCCGGTGGTCCCTGGTGGAGCAGCAGCTTGTCTAACCCATCACTTCTCCTTTGTCCCTGTGTCAGTAGGATTTCATTGCTTGACAAATAACTTTCCTTTACATGCTGCTTTTCATCAGAGAATTCATGTGTACAAATCTTTTTTTTTTTCCCTCCCCTTTCTTCCACCCCCCCAGCCATTCATGCTTTAACGCTTGCTCGAAGTAAAGCTGCCTCTGCTCACACTTCAATAAACCAACGCATTACAGTTTTTGGTGCACTGTTTTGTCACAGGTAAACCCAAGTGTGCTGAGCTCGATGGAGAAGCAGAGGCGTAGAGAGGAAGAGGAGGAGCGCCAGATCCTTATAGCAGTACAGAAGAGGGAGCAGGAACAGCTGCTAAAGGAGGAGAGGAAGCGAGAGATGGAGGAGAAGGTCAAAGCAGTGGAAGGTACATGTAGCCAATCTGAAGCAAAGTTGGAAGCTTTCAAAGTCAAGACTGAGATCTTGAATTAAGATCTGCCACTTGCATTTGTCCCCTCCCAGACTTGCTAACAGGAATATCTTTTTTTGCACTTACCTTGGATAAATTGGCCTGACTGTAGCTTCTTTTCTTTGTCTATCTCCCTTGGCATTGGTGGCTGTTCTCTAGCGCACCCTTTCACTGTGTTGCTTCCTCAAATCATGCCTATTTTCTCCCTTGACCCAGTTATACTTTTTTGGGGGCTATTCATGTTGTCCTCAGTTCTATTGTGTCTCCCCACTTGCCTCCTCATGAATTTCCCTGCGGGCAGGATTACCTGGCTTGGCTCTTGCTGAATAGCATTTGGTTCTTTTGGCCCAATGCATGAGGAGAAAAGGAAGAGGACAAAATGCGAGTAGCATGAGTAATATTTTTATACTGCTACTAGCCTTACCAGTTGGAGAACTAAAGTTGAGAGGATCAGACTAAATAGAGCACTGGAGGTGGCAATTCCAGGTGCAGGTCTTGATTTTTTGGGGTTTTGAATTAAATGCTGATTTAAACTTGTACAGCAAGAAACATCCATGTTGAGTTTCATATGTTGGATCGAGGCAGAGGCAGCAGGTGTTCCGCTTGCATGTGTAGACACTGTTGTCTAAGAGCAGGCTCACTTCTGAGCACCTTCTCTCTGTCAGCCTCCCTCATGGGGATTCCTTTATCTGCTGCTTTTGCCACAGTGGCTGGCTGAGCCGTTGGGAGTTCCAGGGAAGGGCTGAACATCTTCAGAAAACTGGTAATGATGTGTGGTGGTATCAGTATTGTGAATCCTGAAGTGGATAACGAATTAGAAAAGGAAAGAAGATTAACTTCATACAAACCTTGTAGACTTTCTGAGATGAAACAGTCTGCTACCAGATGTTTGGTAGCAGACCAGATGTTATCTAAGAATAGGTTATTTTACCTGCTTACCTTTCTAACCTTTAGAAAATCAAATTACTTGCTTGGCCTTCATATATTCCTTGTTGCCAGTCCTAGATAAACTGGTGCTTTAAACTGAGAATCATCCAGCTTCCATGCCTGCCACAGATACCTGTTTCACCTTGGCAAAATGCATATTCTCTGTGCTTTAATTCTTATCTGTATAGAAAAAAATTAATCTTGAAGTTCCAGAAGAGCTACAAAGATAAATGTACCTGTAAAAGATCTTGTCTTGGTATAAACCATGTCCTTTTCTGGGTAAATGCAATCACTACGTCATCTGATGCAAAGGCACCAGAGTCACTGGAAGAAGCTGGCATGGGATTGGGCACTGAATTTTTTTAAGCCCATTTAGCTTACATTTATGCTTTTCTTTGCAGAGGTGCTTTTATTTTATTTTGTGCAGATTCCTTCAGTTTAGCTTAAATTTGTCCCTAGTCAGTTTAGGCTCAGCCAGGAAAAGTCTCCTTTTAAGCTGGTGCAAAAGCTGTTTGGAAAGGTTATTTAAATGGCTGACTTGTCCAGTTAAATCACTGCAGTATTTTTCATCCTAGAAATGGCAGCTATCCAGGTAAAACTTTGGCTTCTTAACCATCTTTCTGTATTGCCAAGCAAACCCATTAACATTTACTTTCATGACAGCTCTTATGATGGTCAGAAAGTGATTTGAAAATTAAGTCATTTGTTTTGTTTGGTTCAAACTTGTTAAAACTGGGCATCCATTGATAGAGATTTTAGTGTAACAAAGACTTTCCTATATTTTGCAATCTGTTTGGGATTTAACATTAATTTTGCAAGGTCTTCTGTAGAGGGTTGATATGAAACACAGGCTGAAATATCTGCTCTCTGGTGAACATCATCAGCACTTCACCTGCTTCTCAGTTTTGGACTGTATGCCTGGTTTTAGATCACATTACTGTTTCCAGTCTGGGATTTCACTTCCCCTGACTCCAAACACACACCGCAGGTAGTGAGCATCCTGCTGGGCCCATCTGTACTTTCCTGAATTTATGAGTTAAAGCAGCTTTCTAGATTTCTACAACAGCAGGTTAGGGTTTCTCAGTTCTCTTCCCTGATGCTGCTCCAACATTCTCTCTCACACGTGACTTTCTAATTGTTTGAGGTACTTTTTATGGCACTGGTGAGATTTTGAAAGCTGCTGGGTAGGACTCAACCCAGGCCAACATTTTGACAATGAGCTCTGCTAGTGATCTTTCTTTAATATGCTCTACTACCTACTTGTTGTAGTAGAGGCACTTGCTATTAATCCTGACTGAGCTCCAGTCTGGTACCAGCGTAGCACCCCCTGATGCCTGTCAGTTTACCAGGTCAGATCCCTTGGCAGGCCCTGATGGATTTCTGAAATCTACATCACTTTACTTCTTGGCTGATGTTGCCATTAGGTTTTCCTGTTGCTGCTCAAAACATTGCCTCATCTTTCTCACTTAGGCATGCACTACAATGTCATGCTGATTTTACCAAAAACATTTTGAAGTACTTAGTTGTGCTTGGACTGACTCATATAATCTCTATTATCTGCAGATTGATATGGGACTTGTTATACTTAAATGTCAGGATAGATCTGTTAGATTCTGTAGGACATCTTATATGCAAGTCCTGTCCTCCCAACTTCAGTGCTACGCAAAGTCTTCTAATGGGAAATGCGGACTCTATTTTACAAGTCTTTCTCTTAGATCTATTTGGACATGTACCTCCCTGGAAATACCCACCTTGTAGCTATTTCTAGTTTTCTTGTGCCTTCAATCCCCATGCCAAGTTTTGTTTTGAGAGTCAGAGTAAGGCAGTAGATTAATACTCGTCCACCAGAGCTGGTGTTTCTTGCGTCTTTGGCATTGTCCAAAGATGGAGCCTCTGCTGGAGGGTATTAGCCAAGTCTACCCCATCTTTCTTTCACTCTGGGTGTTCCCCTGATGTGGCCTGCTTTCTGTGGTTTTCCTCCAATGTCATCTCTCCTTGAACATTACTTTCACAGAATTCTATTCCTACAGAAAGTTGGTACAACCACAGGTGTTTAGCAAGTCAAATGAATTCAGATTTCCTATAAGAAAAAGGAAATGAGGTTCATAAGAGCCCATAAACTTTCTATTATGAAGCAATCTGTTAGCCAGCTGTCTGGTTGCAAACCACAGGTTATATTACCAGCATTTCTTCTTCCTGTCTCTCACCTCTTAAACCAAAGCTGTCCCAGTGGCCCCCCTGGGTGGTAGGTTGCTTGCTCTGGCTGCCGGCTGTGCAGGCCAACCTGAGCTGTCTTCCCAAAGCTAGTCATGGTGGTGGAGGATATTAATGACCCCAGTTGCTCATTGCCACCTAGCTGGTAGAACTTCACCCTTCCCTTAGCACTGCTCTTCAACCAGTTCAGTGCAAAACCAGCTGCCTTGAGTTCATCTGGCTGAGATGGAGTATCTGGAGGATGGTAACTTAACAAGCCAGCTCTTTCCATAGCGCTAATCTATGGCTACGTCTGTGCATTTAACTACTCTCTTTGTACTACACCATGCTGAGGAGTTTGTCTGGAAGCTGCCTAGGGGAGCACTTGTATCACAGTAATGTTTCAAATTTGATTATAGTAGAGCCAAGAGAAGATGAAGAGTGGAATTGATGGTGTGTTGTATTCTCACCTTCTCTGCTCCTCTGCTGTTGCTGCTTTTACTGAAAGAAAAAGAACGTTTCACTGGAGTTCTTGAGAGCTGCAGGAGCTGTCTTTGTTCTCCCTGTGAGTTGTTGCTGACAAAGACTGCTAAACGGTTTTTCAACTCTCCTTCCTCCCCACTGCAGAAAGAGCCAAGAGAAGGAAGCTTCGTGAAGAGCGGGCCTGGCTGCTGGCACAGGGGAAGGAGCTCCCCCCTGAGCTTTCCCACTTGGATCCCAGTTCCCCTACCAGGGAAGACCGAAGGCCCAAGGATCTGTGAGTATGCAGCTAGGCGTGCAGCACCCAAGTGCATTGACGTAGTCAGTATGGGAAAGAGAGGAATGTGATTGCTCACAAGAATGAGGAGGGAGAAGTGAAGCTGTAAAACAGCAAGGAACAAGCTGAGAAACATCTGTGTTTGGTCCACGCTAGAGGAGTTCTTGTGGTGAGGCCTGTTTGTCAGCATTATGGCACTGTGTGTGGAGTGGAAGGGAAGTTGATGTACGAGATGGATGTCTTGGATGTCCTCAGTCTCCATACTCACTGTTGTGCTTCCCATTACAGCTTTGAACTGGATGATGAGTTCACAGCCATGTACAAAGGTTAGTCCTGCCCCATCGGTGCCCTTTGCATAACTTGCTTAAAGTAAAATGCTCACCTGGGTGTATATGTAACCATTCACCTTTCTTTTGCTACTGCCAGTTCTAGATGTGGTAAAGGCTCACAAGGACTCTTGGCCCTTCTTGGAGCCCGTTGATGAATCATATGCTCCCAACTACTACCAGATCATAAAGGTATGGAATGTGGTCCAGCCATCACCACTGATGTACTTTGTTCACCAGGATGTATTTGGAAGCTTTGTGGATGGTGTTACACTTGCAGTCAATCTGCATGACTCTGGTAGTCCCTTCTAGCCTTACAAATCAAGTAGACAAAAGATGAGAGGCTGCCTCTCAGGAGAGCAGCCTCCATTTTCCATCCCTTCTCTATGAGGAAACTATTTATGCAACTTTGAAAGGCCCACTACTCTTGCTGAAACTGAAGGGAGGTTTTGTTGTGTTTTAGGCCCCCATGGACATCTCTAGTATGGAGAAGAAGTTGAATGGAGGTCAGTACTGCACCAAGGAAGAATTTGTGAGCGATATGAAGACCATGTTCAGGAACTGTCTTAAGTACAATGGTGAAGGCAGTGGTAAGAGCAATAAGATGCTAAGTTTGTCTATTTGCAATGCTCAGTCAAAGCAAACAGTGATCTCTTCCTACTCACCAGTACTTGATGTGTGCTTATTCTCTTTCAGGGTATTTTTGTGAGGCCAGACAAAAGAGTAGGGACTCCTGAGTAATAAGGCCTGGGCTTTTAGCAAGGTTTTTAGCACAATTTAATCATGCTGAATTGGGGCATGGCATACTAAGAGACTCTCATGTTGGTAGATGGTGAAGGCAGAATGTACAAAGAGAATAAAGTCTATTTCTTTCTGAGATCATTCCTTCATGTGTTTAAGTGCGTCTGTGTGCTCCTTTTTATCTAACACAGACTTTGAAAAGCATTGAAGTCTAGTTAGTTTCAGTGTTTGCTGAGTACCACAGAGAAGTGAGGAATGAACTGGTCCTTTGGATGGAAAATGTAGTTTTCAGATTCCTGGGCTACTGAAGGAAAAACTCAAATCTGCAAATGAGAAACACTGGGTTTAATCGCCATGCCCATTAAAATTCTACATGTTGCTTAGGTAAGAAATTGGTTCCCATGTGGTGGGTCATCACTGCAGACTGAGTCTCATCAGCATCACCTTGAAAGGGAAAATAGTTAGAGCTACCCAGCTTGTCACTGAGGGCCCCAAGTAAAAGCATTC